CAAAACAGAGACAAAATAGATTAGTGGTTGCCAGTGTGTAGGAGGAAGACAGGATGGCGAGGGACTGCTAATGGATACCAATTTCCTTTTAAGGTGATAACAATGTTCTGGAGTTAGATAGTGGATGTTGTACAACTCTGAATATATGAAAAACCACTGAGTTGTAAGGAAAACAACTTGTCAGACACAACTGAAATACCTAGAAGGAAATGAGTAGCTTTAAAATCAAGTTTGGAAAAGAAAGACTTAAAAATCAATGAGCTAAGCATCCATCTCAAGAAGTTAGATGAGAATATCAAAATAAACCCAAGCAAAGGAAAAGGATGGTAATAAAGAGAAATTAATAAAATAGACAATATAGATACAGAATATCCTGCCAGGTAGTATGTTTTCAGTAATTATTTGTTGAGAATGAAAATTTGGTTCCCTGTATGTGTAGGTATTTACCGTGTACACTTTTACAAGTGGAAACATGAAAAGTCACTTATGTCTTAATTGGAAATAGGTTGAGGATTGAGGGAGAACAGGGAGCAGAAGAACTTGGAGCACAGGAGACCTCGGATCTAGCTCTGCCTCTGCCATCCTGGCTTTGGGCAGACCTCTGCCTCCCAGGCCGACGCCTCATTCACAGGGGACGGTCTGCACCGCTGCTTGACCTCTAAAGGCTTTTCCAGCTCCAGGTACCAATGCGTTGTAGGAATTAATTTGTTATGCCAGCACCAAATGGTTAAATGCCAGAGGGGGTTGTTAGACTGTTGTAACTAAAAATGTTTGGTTTTGGTGAGATTTAAGATTGCTTCTCTGGAAACAGTCTTCAACTGTAGTTGTTGTCAGCAGTAGAACTCCCACTCAGATGGTTAGAATTCTGTGGGACTCCAAATAATGGATTGATTTGTATACTTCGCTGGTGCAAACTTATTGTACATTGTAGTTATCTTCCCAGTATTTTGTCCTTTCAAATTTTATATAAGTGAACAGACACTCTTAGATTAAAAACTAAACATGGTATTTATGAAAAAGGGAATTTAATTCAAATTCTGAAAAATCATATGATTATATAGCTTGGCATAAGATTTGCATATATAATAAATATTTTCCTTCAGGTAATAGCTGCTTATGAAAACAGTCATCTGTGTGTTTGCTTGGTGAGGAAACAAATATAGCAAGTCCCCAGTATCCCCAGTGTACAGAACAGCTGTGTTCTAAATTTACCTTTAGCATTTGGAATACATTTTCTTATGGATGTTAAGTTTACTTGTAGGTGAATACAATCATGCATTTATTGACAAGCTCAGGGCTTATGCTATGCCAGGCTCTGTGCTGGTTGTCTAGACTAGTCACAGAAAAATATTTGACACATAAAATAGGTCTCATATTACTATACTACCTTTTTAAAAGTATATTAGTGATATTTTAAAAGATTTAATTACAACAATGGTTAAGTGTGGGTGGACTCTGGAGCCAGACTGCCTCTATTCAAATACTGGTTCTGCCACTTGCAAAGTATATGACTTTAGAAAAGTTGTAAAACCTCTTAGTACCTTTTTCCTCATCTGGAAAATGGAGAGAATAATAGTACTTACCTCACTGGGTTGTTGTGAGGATTAAATTTTTAAAAATTGAGATGTAATTCACATAACAAAATTAACCATTTTAAAGTGTACAGTTTGGTGGTACTTACTATATTCAGTGTTGTGCAGCCACTACCTCTAACTCATTCCAAAGCATTTTCAATGGATAAACAAAGTATAGTATATACATAGAAGGGAATATTACTTGACAATGAAGAACTGATACATACTACAAGGTGGATAAACCTTAAAAACACTGTGCCAAGTGAAAGAAGCCAGACACAAAAGGTCACATCTTGCACGATTGTTGTTATATGAAATGTCCCGAATAGATACATCTGTAGAGACAGAAAGCAGATTAGTGGTTGTCAGGGCTGAGTGGAGGGGGAAGTGGGGACTGCCTGCTTAATGGGTACAGAGTTTTCTTTTCAGGTGATAAAAATATTTTAGAACATGATAGAGGTGGTGATTACTCAATATTGTGAGTGTACTAAATGTCACTGAATGACGTACTTTAAAATAGTCAGTTTTATGTTACGTGAATTCCACTTCAATTAAAAATAATAATAAAGCCCCTCGATCACTTAGATTGGCAAAAAATCCTCAGGCAACTAACGCCAAAGAGCCTGAACCTTGTGGGTTTCTACTCTTCTTTCTGGCCCCAGTGAAGTTTAGCTAGTTTAAATTTTGAAAAATATTTTATGTTTTATGGAACAGTTCTAGGTACTCTGTAGTGTGTGGTCTAGGTCAACATATTGCTGGAAATGGAAACTGCCACTTCAACTTCAGCCTTAACTTTTTGATTCTCACATTTAAACTTAGGTTTTCTGACAAAGCCTTGAATACATTTGTGTGTGTGTGTATCCTTCCTTAAAACTAGTAAGCTTTTTATTTCCTTGCCACTGCACACCCCTCCCCCTGCCTGGGCCTGTTTACTGCTGCTGGCCTCCGGGGATTGTGGTGAAAAGGGGGCATTGGTCCTGGCAAGGTGTGACAGTGGGAGCCGGATTGCATGGCTGTTTGTCATGGGGCCAGCCAGTCACCCAGAAAGTCACCCCAGAGCTCCCTTCTGCTTCCCAGTGCTTGTCCCCACCATTTGTAGTAATTCTCTTTATTAGTTTTCCATTGCTGCTGTAACTAATTACCAGGCTGGGTGGCTTAAAACAACACAAATTTAATATCTGGTAGGTCTGTAGGTCAAAAGTCTGATGCAGGGTTCACTGAGCTAAAATTAAGGTGTCAGCAGGACTGCATTCCTTTCTGGGGGCTCCAGAGAATCCATTTCCTTGCCTTTTCTGGCTTGCCATTCCTTGGCTGATGGCCCCTTTATCCATCTTAAAGCCAGCAATGATGGGTTGAGTCTTCACATTGCCTCACTCCCACCTACACTTCTATTTTTAATGACCCTTATGATTACTTTGGGCTCACTCAGATAATCCAGAACAGTCTTCTTTTTTAAGGTCAGCTGATCAGCAACCTGCCATATAATGTGTTCACAGGTCATGTGGATTAGGATGTGGTCAACTTTCAGGGGATCATTATTGTACCTGCCGTATTTATCTTCTGTGCATTGTGGTCTGTGATTTCTTCTTTCAAAACAGCCTCACTCTGCTGTCAATTTCTGGTCCACCAATCAGACCCCTCTCTGCTTTTCTACACAATACTTTTATATATGAATCTTTTCTGTCATTAGTGATTGGAATGGGGAGGAGGCAGAAGTGGGTTTTGAACTGGATCAGTTCACCGTCTTGATCCAGTCTTTCTAGTACTAACACATTTTAAGTGTTTTTTAGATTTACAGATTTGAATTTTTTTATACCAGTCCTTGAGGAGGCGATAGACCTTTCAGCTCTTTGGACTGACTGTTCTCTTTATCTTGGTATAAGTTGTACTTTAAGATTTCAGGATAGGTAGGGCAAGGACTTCTAAGTTAGGAAACTTAGATGTCTATTTAAAGCTGGCAGGGAGGAGGGATGGAGGTCTAATTGTTTGAAAAAGTAGTTTCCAGGCAGGACTTTTCTGCCTGGACTTGCCCTGTCTATGCAGCACCCTGCATACATACGCTCAGACCACGTGATGGGAAGTAAATGCCACAACCTTAATAACCTTGAAAAGTGTTCTCCAGCTTTCCAGCCCCCATTTTTCTTGAAAATTGCCTGAGGGGGAGCAAGGACGCCAGAAGCACAGATTTGTAGACTATAAACCTTTGCAGATCGACTATTTCTTGAGATGTTAAATATTACCTGTTTCTTTTTAGGAAAGAACAGCTATGTGGAAGTCATCAAAACAGCATACATAACTGAAAGTAGAGTGAATTTAATAAACATTTATTTAAGAATCTCTGATATCAAAGAGAATGAGTATTCCTACAACCCGGAGGAAGAGTTAGATTCCACTGTAATATCAGTGCTGTAAGAGACGTGTAAACAAATGTTGTGGGGACATAGAGGAAGGAAGGAACAGCCAGTTGTACCCTGACGGGTAGGCATGGTAACATTTGACCTGAGTTTTGAAGAATACTAGTAGGAGAGTACAGTGTTCTCTTTTGTCAAGCAGGCCGACCTATTTAGATAAGGGACCTAGGAAATTTCTGTTCTTATCTATGATGTTGACCGAGTTTCCAGTTGTTACCATGGTAAAAATATTGTCTGTAACCGTTATTAGATCAGTAGCCTAATGCTTGATCTTATGCCTGAGAATATACAGCCGTGGGTCTGCATCTAGGCTGAGAACCATAAACGCACCTGGAGATTTCATGTGTATAACTTTATTCCTAACTATATGCTAATGGTTTTTATCTGCCATAGGGTCTTAGCAATGGAAAGACTGTTGGCTTCTTTTTTTTTTCTACTGATAATTTTTGTCATTGCATTATCCTAGATGCATTATTTGTAGAATTTGTAGCAAAGATATTGCCCCTATTTTGTTTAACACACAAGCAAACAACTATTTTAAAGAACAATATGATTCTGACATTTCTTACTTTGTGTGAATATATTGATTAAGCAGAGCGTATGGAAGTATGTATTTGTTTGGTTACTAGATATTTTGGTTTCTGGTGGTATCAAAGAAGGCTTAGGAACAGTAACTGACCAGTAAAAGTTTAAAAGTCCATTTACCTACTGTCTTTGACATGTGTCCTAGGTTGTAAACCCCAAAGTTTGTTATCTCGAGGGACCCTACTACATTTTCTTTTTCCATATCAGAGAGAGAGAGGAAAAACATTTTGAAAAATTAAGTATTTCTGTTCAAGTATATAACTATAGAAATTTGAGCAATAATGATCCCAATAGATTAAAATATTGTGTATATTTGTTCACTGAAAATTTGACTTGACTCATTGACAGTAATGAACTTTTGTTCGTTTAAAAGTTGTGGCTCATTATTTTTGTGATACTCTAATGGCTAAAGGCTTTTCAAACTTTTCAGGGAAGCATGACAGCAATGACAGTATTTTTTCCCTTGGATACAGCTCGACTTCGACTACAAGGTGAGTGTCTTATGTCATCATATTCGTGTTCATATAGTGTCAGGAAGCAAACATTTCTATAGTAAGTTCTAAGTTAACATAAGGGTATTCTTTTTTGTTAGAAATCTGTTGTCTGTTTTCCCTGACTTTAAACACATCGTTGCTGTTTCCTAATTAACAGCGAAGCGTTCATGGGTGAGTCATAGCCTCAGTCATTTTCTAATCTGAGAAACCTGAGTGGGCTTGCATTAATAAGTTTTGAATCATTACAATTCATTATAATAAACAGTACAACTTTTTAAAAGCACAATTTGGAGAATTTTTTCCTGGGGGTAGGTTTTCTGGAAAGAGAACACAGAAAAGGAAACGTGGTGAAGCCAAGACCGTTGTCATTGCTCATCTAGGCATATCGTCCTAGTTGGCCTCATTCATTTTATAGGACTTGCAACTTTCTACAACTCTTGCTTGTTTTTCCCTCAATATATTTCACTTTGAAATTATAAACCTATGCCAGAACTTACATGAAGAGATGAGTGAGTTTAACTTTGAGTAACTAATTCCTATGTTAAAACCCTTCATGACTACTATTTTAAATTAATTTTAGAGGTTTTGGAAAGGTGATAATTTTTTTTTACATTTTTTATTGATTCATAATCATTTTACAGTGTTGTGTCAAATTCCAGTGGGAAAGGTGATAATTTTATATAGCTCAAAACCCAAAATACATAAAAAGATACACAGTACAGTGAAAAATCTCACTCTAGTCTGCCTCCTTTTCTCTCCCATCTAGATAATGTTTTTATTAGTTTCTCAGATAGCCCTGCAGAGTTTCTTTATGGAATAACAAGCAAATAATACATGTTCTTAATTTTCTCCCTCTCTTACTCAAACAGCATACTTTCCCCACTGTTCTGTACCTTGTATTTTTCACTGAACAGCATATGTGGGATGGCTTTGTTGTTCTCGTTTGTAGCTGTGGAGTGTTCCATGGTGTGGATGTGACATAAACTGTTTACCCTCCCCTATTGTAGATTCTTAGATTGGTTCTTCTCTTTTGTAGAATAGACCTGTTCTTATACCATTTTGTTTCTGTAAGTTCTGTGGGATAAATTCCCAGCAGTGGGGTTGTTGGATCAAAGAGTAGATGTGTTTATAATTTTGATAGTTATTGTCAGATTGCTTCCTCTAGGGGGTTTCCTAATTTGTTATCCCATGAGCCATACAGGTACCAATTTTAATTCTTAAGCACCTGGTTCATTTTCCCATTTTTATGTTTTCAAAATATTCTTCAAATGTGAGTAGGAAGTTTGAAGTTAATTGAGGTGGGTTTTGTTTTCATTGAGAATGACAAGAAAAGCACAGTTCTCATCTTTTTAAGACCTTTCAGTTTTTAGATTAGGGAACAGCACAAGCTAAAACTTTGAAAACTTTTAACCTTGGCTCTGCTGCCAACTACATGTGTCTTTTATAGACGTGTGTGTCTGTAGCCTATTCTCTAAAAAGGAGATGGTAATTTATTTCCTCTCTGCTTTATAAGATGTTAAGATAAAAATGAGAATATATGACTGGAAAAACCAAGAGAGCCCTATGAAATATATAAGTAATAAATTTCTCCTGTTACATCTTTTACTTTGGAAATGAATTGAATTAAAATGCCTTTTGGTTCATGAATAACAGATGAAACCCAAGGGATCTACAGTTGGGAATTTAGCACATGGGAACGCAGGAGTAACACTGAGCTCTGAGGCAAACAAGGGAGCTTAAAGATAGGGTGGGAGATTGCTTGTGTGAGGTAAATGGCATTTCAGTGAAACTTGCTGATGCTGGAGATAATAATTCTCAAAGGATTTGGTTTGAACATATCCTCTTTGGTCTTGTAGTTGATGAGAAAAGAAAGTCCAAAACAACACACATGGTGCTCCTGGAGATCATTAAAGAAGAAGGCCTGTGAGTACTGCGTTGTGCATCTTTGTCAGATAAAGCAGCTCCTGAGCAGGTTCACGGGCCTTTCTATCCATTCTCATAGCCTTACAGTGTTGTGAATTTGTAATTGCCTGACTTGTAAGTATATAGTTGTTTTCATTTCCTCAAAGTTCTGTGGCCAGCCGTTTTGATTTTTAGATCGTAGAGTCTTCCATGAAACCAATGCTTTATTTGTACCGTAAACTGAAGAAGGTAATAATTGTTTGGTTCATTCCTATCAGATGTATTCAGACATTGTGTACCTTTTTAAAAAATTTTTTTATTCAGAAACAATTTCAAGTTTACAAAAGCTGCAAGACTGAAAGTAGTACAAAGAATACCAGTATATGCTCTACCCAGATTCCCCTGTTGTTGACACTTTTTCCATTTGTTTTCCCATTGGTACTTGTGCTTCCTCCCTCTCTTCTTCTGTCTTTACAACCAGACATACACAGACACACACACCACACAGACTTTCTCAGAATTATCTGAGAGTAAGTTACATACCATACATCAAAGCCCTTTACTCCTGTGACACTGACATTTTCAAAGAATATGGGCCTTCTTCACCCCCCCTTTTTTTTCTTAAATAAAGTGTTTCTCATTTTATGCTTGCCTCCTGTCTCTTCATGATTAGATTGAGGCTGTTCATTCTTGGCCAGAATAATGCATAAGTGAAATTGTATCCTTCTCAAGGTGTCACATCTGGAGTCACATATTGTCCACTTGCTCTTCATTGGTTAAGTATGTGAGTTAGCCACTGAATATTTTGTTTTTCCTCTCTTGTAACTGTAAGCAGCTTATGAGGAAATACTTAATTTAATGTCAGTATAGACTCAGATTCCTGTTTTTTTTAATGATTAACAATTGATTACTATACTTAATTATTTTGGTGCTCAAATTATCCCAGATGTGACCAGGGGATCCCCTTCAGTCTGGTTCCTCCACACTCATAACATGCCCCCGCCACTTTTTTTTGTACTTCTATATTTACTTCATTTTAAATGTTCTTGCCTTGTAATAAAATGTGAGTAATGCTATATGAATCAACAACCATGAGGAAATTGTCTCTAATTTTACGTTGTAATTTGCTAAAGGAAATCAAAGGGGAAAAACCAGTCCTTGAATGTGTGTTTTTTCTTTGGTGTCATTAATGCTAGAAGAGATTTCTTGGGCATCCTTCAGAATGTAAGATACACATACGGTTTGGAGTGACAGTAGTGAAGGAGTGAGCTTTGAGAATATGCGAGTGGTGATCAGCCTTTCCTAGGACTCAGCTCATTTCTGCTCATGAGTAACAGATGAAACCCAGGGAATCTGCAGTTGGGAACTTAGATGGCTTTTGCCCAGCATCTCACTTTGCTTCCTGTGTTCTTCCCCTAGCCTGGCACCGTATCGAGGGTGGTTTCCAGTTATCTCCAGTCTCTGCTGCTCCAATTTTGTCTATTTCTACACTTTTAATAGCCTCAAAGCAGTCTGGGTCAAAGGTCAACACTCTACTACTGGAAAAGATCTAGTAGTTGGATTTGTTGCAGGTAACAAAACTTTCTGAAAGTCAGATGTGTTTATATTTTATTGTTTATCTCATGGTCTGTATATCCTTTAAGAGGTTATTTTAACACAAAGTAATGCCACAAAGAATGTAATTAGTTTTCTGACTTGACTGTGTGTGTGTTAAAAATGCACATCATAAAGTTTACCATATTAACAGTTCTTACATGTACACTTCAGCAGTAGGTTTATTCACATTATTGTGAAACAGACTTCCAGAACATTTTCATCTTACAAATGTGAAGCTCTATACCCGTTAAACAACAACTCCCTTTTCCACCCTCCCCCCAGCCCCTGGTAACCACCACTCTACTTTCTGTCTCTATGAATTTGACTACTGTAAATGCATCACGTAAGTGGAATCATACAGTATTTGTCTTTTTGTGACTGGCTTGTTTCATTCAGCATAACGTCCTCAAGGTTCATTCATGCTATAGGAAGTAACGAAATTTCCTTCCTTTTTAAGGATGATATTCCATTGTATGGATATACCACATTTTGTTTATCCCTTCATCTCTCGATGGATATTTAGGTTGTTTCCACCTCCTGGTTACTGTGAATAGTTGCTGCTGTGAACATAGTTTGTGCAAATATCACTTTGAGTCCCTGCTTTCAATTCTTTTGGATATATACTCAGAAGTCAGAATGCTAGATCATATGGTGGTTTTTTTTAGTTTTGAGAGGAACTGCGATACTGTTTTCCACAGCGATGGCACTATTTCATAATCCCAGCAGCACTTATTTCTGGTGTCTTCACATCCTCACCAACACTTGTTATTTTCTGTTTTCTTGATAGTAGCCATCCTAATGAGGGCAAAGTGATACTTCACTGTGGTTTTGATTTTCACTTCTCTGATGAGAAGACATTTCTTCAGAGTTGATATACAAATGGCTAACAAGTATATGAAAAGATGCTCAATATCACTAATCATCAGAGAAGTGCTCTCGTGAAGTGTATATATTTATATATATATATATATATATATTTCCCCCCCTTGCTAAAGTCTCAGTAAGAACAATTCCTAGCATGTAGTAGGAGCTCAATAAATATTTGCTGAATGAGCAAAATTTTTGTTGAATTAGTCAGGGTTTTATTAAAGAGATGGGAGAAAAAGGAGATCTATTTCCTATGATTTTTTGTGTTTATCCATTTTAGTCTGTAACTAAGTTAATTTATTTAAATGTTGCACATAGAGTGTTAGTACTTTGTGGAGACAGTTTTTGATATGTTCTTTGAAAAATTACTGATTTGAGAGCCACACAATTGAATAAATAAAATGTCTATTTGAAATGAAAATAATTTGATTGAAAAATAGCTACCAGGCCAGGAGTATTCATGGTCCCCAAGTTTTCCTCTTTACCTTATGAGACCACTGCTGTTCTTTAATTTGGTCTCTGAGCCTTTCTTCTGCTTAATACTCTCATTTTAGTCTTAGGTTGATTTTGATATAATTAATTTTCGCTTGCACCAACTTTTTTTCTAATTGAGATATAACTGACATATAATATTAGTTTCAGTTATACAACATAGTGATTGATATTTGTGTATATTGCGAACTTGTGAGAACTTTTAAGATCTATTCTCAGCAACTTTCAAATATACAGTTCAGTATTATTCACTATAGTTACCATGCTGTACGTTACATCATCATGAGTTAATTATTCTGTAACTGGAGGTTTGTACCTTTTGACCTCCTTCACCCCTGTTCCCTGCCAGACCAACTTCGACATAAACAGTATAACACACAGGATTTCATTCCCTGAGGAGATGAATGAATAGTTAGGTAGGTAACTCAGGCTAGAAATCTGGAAGTCCTCAGAGAGGGTGCTCTCTTACCCTCCATATCTGCTTGGTCATCATGAATCGTCCATCAGTCTGTCTCTTAAATATCTCTTGAATGCATTTCCTCTTCTCCATATCCATAGCCATGTCCCCAAATCAAGTGCCATCATCCCTCACCTGGACTGTTGCTCTATTCTGATCTTCTTACCTCTGAAGTCTTACTTACTAATGCACTTTACGTGGTTCTGCCCAAGTAGCCTTTCCAGAAGAATAGTTTTCAAACACTGACATAACTCAAAGAACTCAAGTTTGAGCTTTCTTCACTTGCAAAAACAAATCAGAATAGATCCAAGGTTATCCTGTAGAGAAGAAATCTTTTTTATTTAACTGTAACAAATGGCAATCTAGTATGATCTCTTATACTTACACTTTAAAGTATTTGTAATACCTTAATTTTAATACATTTTAGTTTATTGCGGCTCATATGTATTTACATTTAAAAGGTTATGATTTTAGTTATAACTGTTTAGTCCAGGACTAACTCATATAACTTTCCATGAAGCTACTAATTTCTGAAATGTATGATTAAATCTTTTCCTTGTTTGTCTGAAGCTGTTTGTTTGCTGACGCCTCATTATCCACTAAGCACACACCATGCCTTGTTCTCTCTCACTGTGCTCTGCTCACTTCCTTTCTAATTCTTACACACTTTGTAATTATGAGAGATTCTTCCATACCTAGAACAGCTAGACTGGTATAGTAGGGCAGTTAGATTTAAAAAGTCAGTGGAAGTAGGGAGTATCATAAAATGCCTATTATATATCTAAATATTTTATTTTCACCTCAGATGTATGAATACATACTTCTCCAGTTTTTGTGATGAATGGCCAAGGCATATCAGCTCATTGATGGGAGTTTTGTGCTTTTTTTCTTATGTAACCATACCTATGGTGCTTTCCCTGCTGTAACAGATACAGGTGACATAAGCAGGCTGAAGAAAAGACACAGTTGACTCTTGGTGAGCTTAAAACCCAGCGGGTTGGGAGTGGAAGGGCATGGGCACACTGGTCACATGTCTTCATGTGCTGTGGCACCGTCAGTATGTCCCGTAACGGGAGAGAGGTTTATCTGGTGAGTCCAGTATGTGGAACTGGTTAAAAGTGATTCCCCTGTAATAATGTCATTCTAATTCACTTACATTCTGAAATGTTTTCTTGAGCTTGTGAGAGAAGAATGGAATTATGCTTAACATGCAGGGAGAGCCCATAGGTCTGTGTTGATTCTGAACATCATCTATTACATGTCTTTTCAGAGAAATGGTTGAGATCTGCTATTCTAAAATCCCAATCTGGTTATGTTACGCCCAGGTTCAGACCCTTCGGTGTCTGTCGCTTGCATACGGGATGAAGTCACGGGCACCCTTGGCGTATAAGGCCCCTCTCGTACAAGTGCAGGATGCGAGCCTGACGTGCAGGGCTTGCTGTGATACTGCTTACCTCTCTAGCTCTCTCCTGTGCCCCGCCCCGTGCCAGACTGATTCCTCGAGTAGACCCAGCCGTTTAGTGTCTTCATTCCTCTACAGCTACTCTTGTCTGTCTGAAGCAGTCTTAACTGCGTTTTTAAATATTATTAACTCCTATTCATCCTTTTATTCTCAACTCAAGCTCCTCCTCTTCAGGAAGCCTTCCCTGTTTCTCAAACCCACCACCCCCAGGTTTTATTCTGTGTTAGGCGCCTACGCTTTGTGCTCCAACACGTTGTGAATAGTGTATACTCTGTCTGCGGGCTTACTCTACTGAATAACAACAGTCAGCCTGTTACGTCTTTATCTTTTCCTAGACAGTGAACTCCTTAAATTTAGTCAGAGATTACATTTTTTTATCTCTACATCCCCAGTGTCTTGATGCAGTGCCTGATACATAGAAGGTGCTGATTAAATGCTGAGTGAATGAATTCAGTTTAAAAGACCACTCCTCCTGTAATCTTCCCATTGTGTCACATGGCACCTCTAGACTTCTGGTTGCCCTACCAAAAGTCTTGAATTGGTCCTCTTTCTCTCTGACCCCACCTCCAATCTATGAGCAAATCCTATTGTCTGTTTCTTCATGTGGTGTCTAGAATTCAGCCCCTTTCCCCACCACCACCTGAGTCCAGGCCACCATTAAATCTTACCAGGATTATCTTCAGAGCCCTGCTTCCTCCTTTGTCCTCTTCAGTATGTATGCAACACAGCAGCCGCTTGTAACCTTGTTAAAACATAAGTGAGATCATATTATTTCTCTCTTCAAAGTCCTCCAGTTCCTTCCCTTCTCACTCAGTAAAAGCCAGAGTCCTTAACCTGGTCCCACCAAGCCCCATGTGACTTGGTCTGCCTACCCTTCTCCCCACTCACACCACTGCAGGCCGCCCTGGCCTCTGCTCCCTGAACACTCCTGGTTGCTTCCCCCTCCGGGCCCGTGTGCCTGCTGTTCCCTCGGCCTGGTTCCTGCATGGTTCACTCCCTCACCTCTTTAAAGTCTTTCCCTGAATGGCCACACTGTCTAAACTGGTGTCCTTTTCCATCCCTCTTCTCTGCTTAGATTTTCTCCTTAACCCTTGTGCTCTCACATACTGTGTATTTCACTTGTTTGTCTTGTCTCACACCTTTCCAGTGGGACCTTCAGAGGACAGGAGTTTTCATTTTTTAATTGCTGTGTCATCAGCACCTACTTAGCACATACTGGACACACAGTGCATACATGATGAGCAGACCATGGCTGAATGGCTTGCAGATAAGCATTGACTTCTCCTAAAATACCCAGAAAGTCATTTAAGAAGTGCTAATTCATACCTCAGGTAAAAAAACATCTGCTAGCTAGTTTTACATGTGTTTCCAGTTGACTTAAGGTAGATTTAATATCAAGAAGAGTAAAATTTCTAACACCTCTGAGAAGAAACAGGCTATTGGGGTGAGACTGAATTCCTATCTTTTGAGATATTCAAAAATAAAGTGAATAAACTCTTGGTGTTTGGGTTAAGTTAGTGGTTCTCAACTGAGACCGATTTTGATCCACAGGGGACATTTGTCCATGTCTGGAGGCATTTTTGGTTGTCACAGCTGGCAGGTGCTGCTAGCATCTGGTGGGTTGAGGCCAGGCTGCTGCTCAACATCCCACACGGTAGCACCCCCGCCCCGCCCCAAACAAATGATATCCCGCCCCAAATGTTAGTAGTGTCCCAGCTGAGAGACCCTTGATCAAGTGAATTTTATAGTCCTTTATAATTCTGAGATTCTCTGATGGTAGGTTTCCCTTTTTCTGAAGGTAGGGAATTCCTTGGAAATTACTTTCGTGAGTTTTAAACTTCTCCTTATAACATGTTTTTATACCTTAATACCTGCATATTTTTACAATAATTAGAATAGCTTTTTCCCTTCCTGCTGTGAACCCTGCCACTGTATTACAATCCCTGTAGGAGTGAGTTTCATTATCTCCAGGGAAAACCGGAAACAGTATTATTATTTTTCTAATTCTTTCTAGAAACTTAGAGACTTATTATTATTTATTGTATTTTCACAGGAGAAAAAAAAGCCATATAGCTTAATATATACCCTGGGGAAGAATTTGAGAACAGAACCTTACAGATAACTTAAATGAAGATGATACTGGCTATTTTTATGAAACTGGGGTTTTTATCACTAACTCCTTTTGGATGCAAATGGTGTTATCATTGTGATAGTTGAAATTAACTTCCTGTGCTGAGACCTTAAACCTGGTAAGGCAGGATTGTTCCTGCAGTGTATCAAGCTGCATTCCTTTGGAGAGAGCCAAACACTTAGGTTTGTGGCCCTGTCTGCCACTGCAGTGGTCACTGCCCATACATCCCAGAAGTGCACAGCCACTTAGCATACTGCATTTTTGTCTTCTCTCCTCAACAAAGGAGACTCATTGCTAAAAAAACTATTCTCAAGATTTCAGAAGTCAATAGCTGTGTTCTGATTTTTCTTTGAATCAGTGAATGATTTTAGTGAGTATGTTCAATTGCTGTTCCCCATCTCTTAATTTTGGTTCTGTTTTCTTGTAAATGATTTTTTGTGAAAGAAGAAAGAAAATAGAATCATTCGAACTAGAAGAGAAACAATCTCCTGTCCTTAGGTAGATCACGTTTTCCCACCTTAGAGCTGAAGTAACAGCCACAGCTTGGAACTGGCAGGAGACTTTTCTGCACGTAAACAAGCGGACGGCGTCTTTATCCTGCGGCCACATCCGTCCTGCCTTAGCAAGAGTCCAACTTGCTCATCATGTTCTTCTGTAGCTTGTTTTTCCTCCACAGAAGGCTGTCCTTTGTTTGATTGTATAGGTTGCAAGTTTTCAGTAAAGTTTGGATCCTCAAATATTTTCCCAGAACTCATAAAATGATAGTGGTTAAAAAATACCTCTCCATCTGTTTTGGCTTAGAGGATGAACAAAGTACTTCACTTCTCAAATAAAAGCTGTGAAATATAAAATGTTTTTGTAAGGACTTTGTACTCTCTTCAGATGATAATAGTGCATTTGCGTGCTTGACCTTGTCCTTAGAATCCTCTCAGTCTTTCAGCTCATGTTGATAGTGGGGATATGTAAGCAGAATTTTAAATAATGGCTAAATCTTAATGTTGGCTGCATTGCCTTGGAAGTGTTTTGTGTGTGCCTACCTCTTGAATAGAACATGAAGGGAACTTTGATTTCTAAAGAATTTGTTTAATGGGCAGGCTGCTTCGTATGTTTAGAAAGGTGGGTGTACTGTACCTGTCTCCGGTATCCACAAAAGCTCTAGCTCTGAACCCTCCCGTCGTCTTCATCAACAACAACAACACAAAAAGCAGTGGACTACTTAAGCACTTTCTAGTCTGATTTTTCTGGCTGTTGATTTTTTTTGTTAAGTGATGTGTACTTTGTATTGTCTAGGGATACATTATAAAGTCTGGGCAAATGGGTATGTGTTGATATTCTTCTGTCTTGGCCTCTTGGGCACTGCTTTTTTAAAATGAAACTAGCAAGAATCTCTCAATAAGACTTTTTCAGAAAATAATCAATGCCTCAAGTGACAACGTATAAGTACATTGAATCATGGCTACAGATGACTCCTTGGTGTTATATGTAAAAATATAACAAATACGACTCATAAAATTATTTGATAATGCCTTTTATTTTGAGAAATATATTCTCATAATGTTCCTAAGAGAGAGGTTCCAAAATATCTTACTTTTGCAGCTGTATACAACTAATGAAAATTCAGAATTTGGATTTCCTGGCAGTTTCACCAAGCTTATCCTTAGTATGTTCTGAGATTCCTTAAATCAAACATTTTTAATCCTGTTGTATTTAAGTGGCTATTAGTAAAAGAAAGTTTCCCTTCCTTATCAGTGTGCCTCTTGGTTCTTCAAAGTATGCCTGGAGCCAGATAGCTTGATGTATGGTTGTTTGCTGAGTTTGTTCATTGGTTTACTTGTTTAATATTTTACTTAACAAACATTTATAAAGTATATACTACTGTGTGTCAGGCACTTTGTTACAACTCTGTCTGGTATTTTTCTTTAATCATTTCAGGACTGATGAGGAATATTTTAATATCTCAAGAAGGTGTTAAATTGGGATCATGTATTTTCACAAAAGAAGCACCTGGCTCATTGTATTGTTCCACTCTGAGGCCACCTTGGGGGGCCAAGATCCCCATCCTTAAGCTTGTAAGGATTATGCTTGTGAAGCTGTTTCAGGTGTTTTTGTGACAGTTCATAACTGCTGCTTGCTGCCTGCCTATCCTAATCCCCCAAGCCATGAGGAGCTCTTCCATGAGCCTCTAGTCCATGTTGAAGCACTCTCAAATGTCACCACTTTCTCCCACCTGTCACCCATTGTACTAGATCCATACTCACTTAAAACCATGTGAGCTACTTATATGAGAGTTGTAAATTGTGTGTTTTATGTGATATTGTCATGGACTTATTTAGCATGTGATCAGTAAGCCACTTACCCTGTCTTAAAAAGCTGTTTTTAGAAATTACGTATACTTAAAACAGTATCAAAATTGCTACTTTGGATGCTCTATAAATTGACAAACAGATTGCCTCCTGTTATATAGGTGAGGAAACTCATTACTCTTTTCATGTGGAGAGTACTGTTGCCAGCCATTCTGCCATCAGCTAGGCTTCTGAATTGCTTCTAACAGTACTGGCTTCTGTTGCACCCGGGCACAAAGGGACACCTTACCTTAGGTCTCCTAGGAGGTCAGTGGCAGAAGTATAGCTGGAAGATTGGTGTGTAGCTTTAATATAAGACAGCAAAGCGCCAAAGGTTACATTTTGCTTTTCCTTTGTCTCTCCCTCTTTCTTTCTAAAGGGGTAGTGAACGTGCTGCTAACAACTCCACTCTGGGTGGTAAACACCAGGCTGAAGCTGCAGGGGGCAAAATTTAGAAATGAAGACATTGTACCAACCAACTACAGTGGTATTATTGGTGAGTGTCTCTTGGTCGAGTTTCCGTGATAATGCTTATAACAGACAGCCTCACATCTCAGTGTCCAGAAGTAAGCATTTGTTTTGTTCATGTGTCTGTGGATTGATGGGGATTTGACTTATCTAGGCTGACTCCAGCCTGGGATCCTCAGCTCCCCGTGTCTCTCTTCCTTCTCCTGGGACCAGCCTGAGTGTATACTCTTGGTGATGGCGAAAGCAGAAGAGGACGCACCCAATCGTACAAGCATATCTCAAGCCCTGTCTGTATCTTGTCTGCTGACCTCCTCTAGACCAAAGCCCATTCAATTTCCAAGCCCCAGGAAGAGGGGGAGAAATATCCCGTGGAGTGTAGTGGGAGGGGGTGAATATTTCTGAAGAATAATCTGCTGCACTTTTTTTTTTCCTAGTGTTGTCTTTGGATGAAGATACCAAAGTAGTGTAGGATATCTTTGAGCTTCTGCTTTTTAATATATCACATGCCAGGTTCTCCTTTCTCATGTTTCCATCTTTGTAATGAAAACAGTGGTTTTCTTATAAGGCAGTCCTATAAAACGGACTCCAGGAAACTATCTTATTGTTTTCTGTACTAGACTTTGTTGTGAAACACGCGAGCCATCAGTTCACAAGTCTGTGTAATACAGAGTTCCCAGTGGTGGTGATTACTTAGGAAAATTTGACATGTTAACCCCAGATTTGTCAGGAAGAGTTGCCTGTGATTGAAGTTGGTCTCTCAGTAACTTGGTGACTGTCAATATCTGATGATTATCCAAAAGTAGTAACTGATTAATTTGCCTCTAAAATGTCATGGCAAGAAGGAAATCTGGATAGAACCGGTATGGTTTGTGTTCTGGGTACATTTGAACAGAATTCGCGTTGTTTTCTCTGGATAGGGGATAGTCATCACAGGTCCTTGATTTCTTGCTTAGATGCTTTTCACCAGATCATTCGGGATGAAGGAATCTCGGCTTTATGGAATGGCACATTTCCTTCCTTGCTGCTGGTCTTCAATCCTGCCATCCAATTCATGTTCTATGAAGGTTTAAAACGGCAGCTTTTAAAGAAACAAATGAAGGTAATCCCTGATTTTGAAAGCAGCAAATAATCTCTGACACCTTCTTGTTTAGATTGAAGTAGTTCATTCTTTCTTTGCTTTCCAGCTTTCTTCTTTGGATGTGTTCATCATTGGTGCACTAGCCAAAGCAATTGCCACCACGGTCACCTATCCCATGCAGACGGTACAGTCAATCCTGAGGGTGAGTCCCTGCATTTAGTCAAACAACATTCTAAAATACGTGGTTTCTCTGTGTGAAGCAATGTTAATGAAGTAGTGAGTTGTTAAGCCAGAGCATTCCTCATCCATTTTTCCATTTGTCTGACATTTTGCTAACCAGTCTGGCTATCAGTTGGTTTCCTATTTGGCTTGGAACAAAGTTTACATTTGCGATTTCTTAGGTAACGTGGTATATCAGAAAACCCAAATATGGAGGAAGGTTCTTTAAGGACCTCAGGAGAATGTAAGTTTCCTTCCTTCTCGTTCAAGTTGATTTGTTTGGTGTCAGGGTAGATTATCCTTTACAAAATCTTGATTCGTTTAGTTCATTCAAGAGGAATTCATGATTTAGCTTTTCTGAAGAACTTTTAAATTTCTAGTTTTTCATTCATTCAGTTATTTATTCATTGAGATATGTCTCTTTTAAGCACCCACTCTGTGTGAGGAGCTGGGTGCACATGATGAATAAAAGAGTCCCCGCCCTTAGAGGGGTAACGGAGGAGAGAATGAACAGATAAATAAGCGAGATATAGATAATTACAAGTTCAGGAAGGGACTTACAGGAAGTGAACAGCGTCCTGTGACTTAGTGGAGAGCAGCATGGTGGGGAGCTTCCTAAATGGCATGACTGGAAATGGGCTCCTCTGTGGAGCCATGTGTAAATCAAGACTTAAGGGCAGCTAAGGATCCAGCTGTGCCAAGTGCGGGAGGAAGAGTATTCTAGATGGAGGAAATGCAATGTGTCGAGAGCTTGGTGAGTCCTAGGAACTGAAAGGAGGCCATTGTGGCTGGAGGTGGCTCGGGGAGATTGGGAAGTAGCAGGGAGGCTGTAGGTGAGGACAGTGGGAAGCCTTGCAGGGCTTTAGACTGGGGCGTAATGTGGTCTGATTTACAATTCGAGAAGATTACTTTGACTGTTCAGTGGAGAGATAAGAGGAGGCTGTTTCAGTAATACAGGGGAGACATGATGGTGGCCTGGACTTGAAGTCTAGCAGTAGAGAGGAGAGACCAGGTGAGGACAGATTCAAGGTCTGTTTGGGAGAAAAAATTCAAAGAACTTGCTGATGAGTAAAATGAGGGTGGAGGTGAAAGTATTTCAGTTCAAAAATATGATTACCTTCTTTTAAAAGTATTTTTACTAGTGTACTATTTTTAAATTGGTAGCTAACATAAAGGAATTCAGTAGCGTTCAGATAAATGTGTTTTGACACTTTTGTAGTACAGAGATTTAATGTGAAGAGCTTGGACTGCAGAGATTCTAATTGATGAGTGTTTATCAGAACTTCTTAAGGAACTGAAAGCCATGCCATCAATATCGACATCTTCATCACGGGCATGGTTTTTAACTTTGAGGTAGAATTTTCCCCTACAATTCTCTGTAAAATGAAAATTCTCATGCTTGCTTCACTGAAAAAATGTTTCTTATTTTCACTTATTTCATTGAAATATTTCATTTATTTCATGACTTATTTCATTGAAATATTTCATTTATTTCATTGAAAAATAGAGGATTAATGAAATCTACATACTAATTGGATATTTTTATTACCTTATGCTATAAGATAGTACTCCAACATAATTTCCTTTACAGGTAGAAATTAAGAAAAAGGAAGCAGTAGCAAAGAGTAATTATTTGATTTTTTTTGTCTTCCTCCTCAGTTTGGACGTCACAGACTAAACCCAGAAAACAGAACACTGGGGAGTCTTCGGAACATTCTCTATCTTCTTCACCAGCGAGTAAGGTGAGCTTCGTAGATGTTTCACATTCTGTCCTCTCTTTTAACAGCCATCTCTGCCAAGAAGTGGTTGTGTTTGCTTATCTTGCACCACTGCCTTGGCAGCGGCAGCCCAGAAACTTCTCCCTTGCCTGCTGTGCTCTCAGATTGCTCACTTTTGGGGCTTAGTGAGATATGACAGCGTTTTGGAAATATTACGGAAAAGTGCAGGTCCTTATTCTTTGTTCGTTACAAATATTCAGGACACCTTCAGAAGGGGAATGCTCCTGTGAAATCCTGCCATTTGTGACAACACGGCTGGACCTTGTACGTATTATGTTAAGTGAAATAAGTCAGGCGGAGAAGGACAAATACCATGTGATTTCACTCATGTGGAATCTTTTTTTTTTTTTTCATGTGGAATCTTAAAAAAAAAAAAAAGCTCAGTGAGGCAGAGAACAGATTGGTGGTTACCAGAGAGGAAGAGGGTTCGAGGGCAAAATGGATGAAAGGAGTCAACTGTACGTAATGGATGGTTATTAGACTTGTGGTGGTGATCAGTGTGTAGTGCACACAGATGTCAAATTATAATGCTGTACACCTGAGACATGGAATTAAAAATGAGAGAGAGCCCTCCTGTAATCTAATGTAGAGACCATCCTGCTGAGTAGTGCTCCGTCAGTGGCATATCCTATGACCTCTCGTAGATAGAAACAAGCAGCTATCGGAGAGCCGCAGTCAGAGTGGGAAAGCGGGGGGAGCAGGAAGAGTTATAACAACTTCATAATGGTGACAGCAGTGATGATGGTGATGACAGTAGCTAACGTTTTTCAGTGCTCGCTGTGTTGCCACTACGCTGCACTACGCTGAATGCTCTGCATAGGCAAGCCCACCTAATCTGAACAATTGCCCTGTGAGGCAGGTACTGTTGTCATTTCCCTGTTTCATTTAAAGAAACTGACCTCTCGGGAAGTCAGATAAGTCAGAGCACCTTTGACGCAAAAGCTGCTATAACTTTATTACTGTTCCTAGATGTAAGATATTTTGAAAATAAACTTATTATAAAGATAGAATATGCTTGGGATTAAAAAAAATCAAAGATAAAGAAGTGGTATAAAGTAAAAACTAAATGCCCACCATACCTAGTGTTGGCAAAAATGTGAAGCAACCAGAATCTTCTTGTGCTAGTGGGAATTCAGAATGGCACGACCACTTTTTCCAAAGAATGCAGTTTGACATTCTGTTAAGGTAAACCAACACCTACCATAGACCCAGCCATTCTCCTTCAGGGTATTTACTGGAGAGAAATGAAGTATATCTACACGAAGACCTGTACATAAATGTTAATAGCAGCTTTCTTTGCAAGAGTCAAAAACTGGAAACGCCCCAAATGCCCATCATCAGGGGAGGAGGTACAATTTGTGATATATCTATACAGTGGAATACTATTCAGAAATCAGAAGGAAGGAATTACTGATACATGCAACAACATAGATGGATCTCAAAATAATTATGCTGAGTAAAAGAAGTCATACAAAAAAGAATTCATACTGTATGATTCCATTTACATAGAACTTAGAAAATGCAAATGATCTATAGTGACAGAAAACAGATCAGTGGTTGCCTGGGGCCAGAGTAGGGGAAGAGGGGGAACGGTTACAGAGGGAGACGAGGATAATTTTGGTAATTTTGGAGGTGATGGATATGTTCACTACGTTGAATGTGGTGATGGTTTCACGAGTGTACATCAGTCAGAACTCATTAAATTGAAGTCATTTAAATGGCAGGAAAGCTATAAATACATGCATCCTTACTGTTTTCTATCTCTCCTATCCCTTTTCCAAGAGGTAGTCACTGTTAACAAAAAGTGTATAGATTTCCAGAATACTGCATAAAACATACATTTTTGGGTATTCATTTTTATACAAATGGGATTATATGGGAATATTGTTTTGCAAACTTGAATTTTTATAAACTTAATGTTATGAAAAAATAAATAAGTAAACTTAATGTTACAAACAAGCCTCCATATCAATATCTATATTAGATTATTTTTTAATGACTGCCTTGTTTTTTGTTACATAACATACCATAATTTATTGACTAATACACTTATGGTGAATATTTAGTTTGTTTCCAAGTTTTGCCTTTATAGAGATTGATAAATGAATAGCCTGTAAATTCAGCTTTGCACTGAGTGATTATATTGCAGAGAAAATTCCTTCAAGTAGAATCACTTGGTTAAGAAGTTTGAACGTATAAAATTTTGATAAGTGTTGCCATATTGATCCAAAAAAAAGTGATACCAATTTCCGTAGCATTGTGAGAGTTAAGAAAGATGTAGTTAAGAAAATTAAGAACGTAGTGTTAACTAGAAATCTGCAGGGTTATATAGTTTTCAGATCCAGTGTGTTTTCACATTTCTCATCTTGTTTGGTTTTCACTCAACCTTGTGAGTGTGGAAGGGTGACTGTATTCCGATTTTTGCAGAATAGGAAACAGATTTAGAGAAGGAAAGTGACTTGCCCAGCACAAGGCAGATGGAGGCAGAGCCAAATGTTCAAACTCATATGCTCAGTAAGCACTCGGGAACTTATTAATGAATGAATGAAGAACTTTTCTTCATCCACTAGAATGTTCTACAATGATGGAAATATCTGTGCTCTTCAGTAGGGTCACCACTAACCACATGTGGTTGTTGAAGCACTTGAAATATGGCTAGTACAACTGAGGAACTGAATTTTTAATTTTACTTAAATTTGAATTTCCACATGTGGCTAATAGCTACTATATCGGACAGCAGAGTATACCATGCCTCGCCTCTCCAGAATTTTGATTGATTAAGAATCACCTGAAGTGCCTGTTAAAATACTGATTCATGCCTCCCCTTTGGGGTGGGACCTGGCAATCTTCATTTCTAAACAGACGCTGGTGATTCTGATGTGAGTGGATATAGAGAAAAATTCACACCAGTCTGTCTTTCCTTTACTGCTCACACAGGACACTTCAGTTTGGGCACTTCTGGTCACCAGATGTGGGGGTGGGTTCCCGCGCCAAGCAATTCTGTGTACTACCAGCTGAGTGTCCTAAAATTTAACTCAATTCTGACACTGTACACCTGGAGATAGCATTAGATCCCACAGGTTCAGTAAGAGCTCACTCCCATGATACTGACCCCCATTTCAGGTGACAGTCACAAGTAGTGGGTCCCCAGGTTACACAGAACTTCTGTCTGACTTGGCTGCAAATTAGAGGTTGCCGTGACCTCTCTCTTGGATTCGATTGTTTGCTGGAGCAGCTCACCGGACTCAGGGGAACACTTCTTTATGTTTACCAGCTTATTAAAGGCTGTGATAAAGGGTACAGGCTAACAGCCGGATGAAGAGCTCTGGGAGGCGCCTAAGCACTAGGGCTGCTGTCCCTGGAGTGCTGGGGTGTGTCTCTCTCTTGGTACATGGGTGTGCTTACCAACCTAGAAGCTCTCTGAACCCTATACTCTGGGGATTTTTGTGGAGGCTTCATCGCATGGGCATGATCCATCATTAACTCCTTTTGCAGCCCCCTTCCCTCTCTGGAGAATGGGGGGTGGGGCTGAAAATCCCAAGCTTCTGATCATGGCTTGGTCTTTCTGGTGACCAGCCCCACCCAGGAGCCCTCCCAGAGCCTTTAGAACGAAAGACACTGCTATCACCCAGGAATTTAAAGGACTTAGGAGCTCTGTGTCAGGAACTAGGATCAAAGGCCAAATATTAGAGTAAGAAATGCTCCTAGTGCTCTTACCACTTAGGAAATGACGAGGGTTTTAGGAACTCTGTGCCAGGAACTGAGGAAGGAGACCAGTATATGTTTTTTCTGTTATCTCACAGCAAACCTCATCTTGAGAAACACTGCAGTGGGCTTTCTTGGGGGAACGTAATTCAAGTTGGTCAGTGAACTAGAAATCATGAGTTAAGGCTTTCATTCCCATTTATCACATGATTTGTTCCAAATAATAGATTTTCATACGTAGCAAATATGTAAAACATAGACTAGCTTCTGAATGGAGCACTCGATTAGCTTTAATACCTCAGTCTGCCTGCCATATGTAGCCCTGGACTTGCTGATGAACTTGCACCTGAGATGAACTCACTCTCAACAAGGAACTTTGGAGGCATCATTTCCTCTGAATTCTTGGTCCTAGCTGGAGCATTCTTCCCTGTGGTTGGAGCAGTGGTTCTAAAGGGCTGGTCTCCGGGCTAGTGTCATCCTCCTCCTCACCTGGGAGCGTGTTAGAAATGCAAATTCTTGAATCCCATTCCAGACTGAATGGTGGCCCACTGAGCCTTTCAGGCAATTCTGGTGTACGCTAAATTTGAGAACCTCAAGGTTAGACGATCAAATGTATGGAAAGACTCAGCATTGGATAGCTTTTCATTTCTGTCACTTTCTCTAGTTCTGTTGAGGCTAAAATGATGTAAATCAAATGGCAGCTTTCTACCACTTAGGGACTGTTAGGTTGAAATAGCCAAGTTAGGAGAACATTAAAGTAAAGTTCTAAAAAGTCCTTTGTCAGATCCCAGACTTTGGCATTAAGATGATTTTAGGATTTTAGGATCTACACCCTATCTGTGGGATATTGTCAGCATTCTACAAATTAATGGTGGCTATGAAGAAATACTAAACATTCGCCAGTCCCTGAATACCTTTAAAGATAGAAAATACCTAAACAACAGAAGTCTGTTAATATTTAAAACTTCCATTGCTTGTTTTGATTCTAAGGATAAACCTTTGCAAAATAGTTTGTTTCTTTAAAACAGGAGTTGACTTTTATAAAGAAAATCTTCTGTTTTTTTCCAAACCTCTTCCCTTTTAGGCGTTTTGGAATAATGGGGCTCTACAAAGGCCTTGAAGCCAAACTGCTGCAGACAGTCCTCACTGCTGCTCTCATGTTCCTTGTTTATGAGAAACTGACGGCCGCTACCTTCATAGTGATGAGGCTGAAGAGCGTGCGCAAGCCCTGAGAGCCCTTCCACTGCCGAGCGCGCGCG